CTGAGAGAAGAGCCACAGCAGAGACACTCCAAACCAGCCCTGCTTTCCGATCCACCTTCAGGTCTCTCTAGCACCAGCTGAGGCCCCAGAGGCCCCAAAGCACCACACACACTGGAGCACCCCGCTAGGGTCTCTGCCCACGCTGATTCCCTGAGTCTCATCCTACTCAGGCCTCTCCTTCTAGCCCCTCTGAACTCTGCCCTGCATCTCACTCCTGCACAGGCACAGACCCCTCCCAGGACTGGGTTCCACTGCCCAGATCTTCCAGGACCCCAGGTGCAATCCCAAAACTCCTTCCAGAAGTAGAAGGAGCCAAGTTCTCCTCCTGGAACTAGGGTGCATGTCCCAGGTCCTTTCCCCCAGCATCAGGTATGTCCTTACAGATCCCCTCCAATCACCCATCATGTTGCCTTAACAGTCTACATGGGTGGAGAAGGCTTTAGAAGCAACCACTGGATACAACTGTGCCATGAATGGAACTTACAGTCACATAGCTATCTGGTAGAGGGTCCCTCGCCTATTGCTGGAGGAGGCTATGATTTCATGTTGATACAGGGAGATTGGAGCAGAGCTGCTCCCTCATCTCCAGAAGGCCCCCTGGACAGATGCAGATTGACCGTGAGCCCATGATGCCTGAGAACCCAGAAGTTGGAAGGCCTTGCTGGGTCCTGGTGCTGCCTTACTTCTGCCATCCCAGAGACCAGGCATCTGAGTCCTGGGTACCAGCCCACCTAGTAGGATAGTCTTCCTGAGATACAACACTAAGCTCAGAGGAGATCCAGAGAAAAATACAGCAAAAGGAGGGTCTGCAGAGATCTCAAGGTGGAGTTGGGAACTCACAAAAGCCAAGTCCTTACTCAATACTCAACTATCAGAACATGAGCTCTACTTTGAGGCAACAGGGGAAACCATGAAGGAAACTATAAACACTAAGGATTGAATTTTCATATAAAGAAAAGCCAAGCTAGGGGAATGGACCGAGAAAGACGGGGCTGTGGACAGAGTGTTGCCTCTCTGTGGTGGGGAGAGCTGTGCACACAGCTCATATGAGAGTCAAGTGTACAATTAACAAAGAAATACAGATGGTGAGTAGAGGAGGCATCAGTAATGGGAGGGACAGGACAAGCAGGAGGGGCCACAGCCTGACACAGAGAGAGAAAGAGACAGACACAGAGAGGGAGATGGATATGCAGAGACAGGGGAGAAAGAGAGAGAGATACACAGAGAAACAGAAATGGAGACAAGGAGAGAGAAAAAAGAGACTCAGAGAGAGGATATGAAGAAACAGAAAGAAAGAGAGAAACAGGAGATGCAGGAGCAGAGACAGGAGACAGAGACAGAGAAACACAGAGATGGAGACAGAGACAGAAAGAGAGACAGAGAAAGGAATATGAAGAAACAGAGAGAAAGAGAGACACAGAAAAGGAGATGCAGAGGCAGAGGCAGGGAGAAAGAGACAGATGCCGAGAAACAGAGCGATGGGACAAAGAGAGACAGAAACAGAAAGAGATACAGAGATATGGATATGAAGAAACAGAGACAGAAAGAGACAGTGACACATAAAAAAAAAAACAGAGAAAAGAGAGATAAAGAGAGGGAAAGATAAAGAGACATAATGGGAGGCAGAAGAGGGAATGGGAAGCGAATCAGATGCAACACAGAACACCACTGGCTGCTCACCAGAATCCAACCCTCCCTGGGCCTGGGCCTGGCTTTCCCACCCCCAGGCTGGGCAGAGCACGTAATCTGCATTTTTAACAGGCTCCTTAGGGCTGTTGATGGCATGGTCCAGACAGAGCACTAGCATTCCAGGGAGAAGAGTGTAATCAGACACTGCTTCTTAAAGATATATAGGAGTACAACCTTTAGGAAACACTCAGGAATTTGGGGGAGAAGCAGGTTATACTCACTCACCTAACAATGCAACTAAGAGAATATTTGAAAGCTAGATAAATGCAGACGTGCAAGAAGAAAGCCTTTTTGAAAGCATGGCATCTAAATATCAGAAGCTGAGAACACTGTACTAAGGGGAAGAAGAAACTGTTGATTTAAATCACATTTATAATGCAAGTGGTGCAAATGAAACCATTTTAATGCAGAAAATAAAATTCTTTATGCCAAGGTGTCAAGTATGTGACAAAAGAATACACATAAAGACAAAACCTTGAAAAGAGGGCATTCAGCTGGATTAATGGGATTGGGTGACATTTACCATTTTGAAATTTCCTGCCTGAGCCTAGCCTTCCTCATCTGTAGAGCTAAGAAATAAACCCTGGCTCCCAGGACTGCTAGAAAACCAAGTAAAGCTACACCTTCAAGCAGCCATAGCTAGAGGAGTTTATTGCAGCACTATGCACAAGAGCTAAGATATGGAATCAGCCTGGGTGAACGGACAAAGAAAATATGAACAATGGAGTACTATTCAGCTATCAAGAAGAATAAAGCCTGGCACAGTGGCACATGCCTGTAATCCCAGGAGGGATTACCTTGGGAGGCTGAAACAGGAGGATCACAAGTTCAAAGCCAGCCTCAGCAATGGTGAGGCACTAAGCAACTCAGTGAGATCCTGTCTCCAAATAAAATACAAAATAGGGCCAGGGATGTGGCTCAGTGGTTGTAGTGCCCCTGAGTTCAATCCCCAATACCAAATAAAGAAAGAATGAAATGCTGACATTTGCAGCAAAATGAATCGAACTGGGGGATGTTAAGTGAAACAAGACATCCATTTTATTTAATTTTTTAAAATTTTTTTTAGTTGTAAATGAACACAATATTTTGATTGTGGTGCTGAGGATCAAATCAGTGCCTTCCATGTGTGAGGCGAGCACTCTACCACTTAGTTATAGCCTCAGCCCAAGGCAGCCATTTTAGAAAGACAATTGTAGCATGATCTCTCTCATATGTAGAAGCTAAAATGTAGCTTCTACATATGAGAAGAGTGACTGCCAAAGGTGAGGAGGATGGAGGGAGGCTGGGCAATGGGACCTGAAACAAACTTAGATAAAAGCAATAAGTTCTGGTGTTCCCCATCATAGTGGGGTGACTACATTTCACAACCTGTTATACATTTCTACAAAAATCTGTTAGACACTAACTCAAAGGCTCCAAACATAAAGAAATGACTAGAAGGAAATGTAACTACCCTGATGCAATCGGTGCTGCTACATGCATGTGTTGAGATGCCACAATGGATTCAATTGATAAGTACATTCAATTAATATGTTCATCAAAAAATAATTTAAAAATAAATAAAAACAAAATAACCTAAAGGGATGTAAGAAGAAAACTTTTTTTTTAAAAAAAGTAACATACTGAGAGGCAAGATGATCTACAGGAGAAGCAGCAAAAGTCAGAAAGAAATGAAAATTGACAAAACAGAGGAAGTAGGAAAGAAAGGTATTGAAAAGGAGATGGCAGGGAATCAGAGAAAAAGAAAGGGTGGTTCAAAAACACAAAACAAGGATGACCCACAAAAATGCCTGCTTTCTCCAGCACTACAGAGGATATAATTTAAGGGAGAAACAGGGTTTCTAAAGATTCAGTTCTGGAATCTCACTGAGGAAATAAAAACAGGGTCAAACATTTCTTAGAAAGTACAAAAAGATATTGCTACCAGTGTGATGACTCTGGTCACGGCAGAAATGCTCAGGACACAGTCTCAGAAGATGCATGATTTACACACACACATGAGCATGGACACACATACAGTATACAACACACACACGTACATGTACACAGATGCTAACATACACAGAGAAAGATACATGTACTCACATGCAACCACACAGACATATAAACATACATAGATATGCACATGACATAGGAACACACAGTCCCATTGACATATGTGTGCATATGCATACAAATGAAAATATGCACATATCCACACATGCATATCTACAAGTATGCATGAACACATAAACACACAGACACCTACTGTCCCCCACAGGTCCATCCACATGTCCAAACACAATCTAAACATATGTGATCTATTCCTCAATTATATCCAACTTAGTAGGTTTCATTATAATGCATACACATGAAAAGATGTTTGTGCATATATTTAAATTTACAGTAAGTATAACATTTACAACAAAAGTAGAATACAGTTGAGAACCAGATGCTGTGTTCTTCCACTTCCTTGACAACCACACACCTGAGATATTAGCGCTGTATGCAGAGGGCCTGTGAGCCCCCAGCTGGGAGAAGTCTGAATCCTCCCAGCAAAGGGGAGGCCATGATGCTCCAGGCCTCACCCTGAGGCTCACCCTTCCCTGGTCCACCTGTGGACAGAGCCTATGCAAAGACACACAGTGCTAAGCCACAGGGGATAAGTAGGACTAAAGCACGGCTCCTCCAAGCCTGTTTCACCTTGAGAATGGAGTGCCAATCATGCCGCCTTAGCAGGCCATGGCAAGAAGTCCCAAGGAGGGTGCTCAGGTCATGCTAGAGCCTGCCACTGTGAACACTAAGATTCCTGCATAGCTCCTGAGTACCCTAGGAATACCCAGGAATCAGCCAAGGCCAGAGCTGGCACATGCCTCAGGTCCTTGCCCAGGGTCCCTCAGGCCAACAACTCAGGGCCAGCTGCACATTCACATTCACATAAGGTGTGGTCAGGACCAATTTGGTCCTTCTAAGGCCAGGTGAACCATTTCCTGCTGCATCGGGGACATTATGCACACAAATGCCACCCCCAATCACTATTCCATGGCTCACGAGCAACTCAGCCTCTGTAGGAGCATCAAGCTCAGGCTTCCCATCCACTAGACTAATAAAATATGGAGGGTGTCTCCTCCACAGCCCCACATGCCAATACATAACACTAAGAATTGCAGGCCCTGTCACCAAGAGGTAAACTGAGGCTCAGGGAGGACAGATGGTGGGTAGCTTCCTTCACTCCATAACCACAGCTGCCTCTTGTCAGCCGACTGACCCAGGTGCCTGAAGCCCTGGGCCAGGGACAGGCCAAAGGGCCTGTCCACTCTGCTCCCACTGACCTGTTTCTCGTTCTCATCCTCCAACCGTAGCCGGTCCTCAATGCAGCTCCGGGCTTGCAGAAAGGCCTTCCTCTGAGAGCGTTCAGTCAGAATCCGCACGAAGACGCCATACATGTTCACACCCACGAAGAGCAGGGCATTGGCGCCAAGCTACAGGGAGAGCACAGATGCAGCATGTAGAAGGGGCACAAGCCATCCATGGAGCATGCAGAGACTCCCTAAAGCCCCACAACCAGCCCCACAACCACCATAGCCATCAAAGGCTTCTGCAGGTGCCCCCCAGACACACCATGAAGTAGGCTATCAGCTGAGCAGGAGCAGGAAACACACATTTTGTCCATCCAGGCAGTTGGCACATGCCAAAAGATGTCACAGAATTGAGTGACATCCAAGTTTAACATTACGGGCTGAATTTTGCCCTCCCCAAATTCCTATGTTGAAGCCTTAGCCCACAGGACCTCAGAATGTGACAGTATTTGGAGATGGGGGTCTTTAAAGAGGTTACCAAAGTACAATGAGATCATTAGGGTGGGCCCTGATCTGATCTGACTGATGAACTTACAAAGAGCTTAGGACAAAGACACAGAGAAGGAAGACTAAGAGGCCTCAGAGACAAGATGTCCTTTTACACACCCAGGGGAGGGGTCACAGAAGCCGCAAACCCTGTCCACACATGGATCTTTTACTTCCAGCCTCCACGACTATAAGAAAGTAAATTTCTGTTATTTAAGACCCCACGGTGTCACTGTTACGACAGCCCCAGAAAACTAATATACCTAGAAGATATAAATGTGAAGAGTGTCACTGTTCACAAAGACTGTATAGAATGCTCTAAAAGGTTTCAGGGAAGACGAGTTGACAAAAATAAAACCCAAGATGTTGATCTGGGCCTAAGGTAAACAACAACCCAAGATGAGGAAACTGCATCCTAAGGTCCATCTCCTGCTCTCCCAGCTCTGAGGGCCCAGTTGAGGAGAATCCTATAGGAGCCCAGCTCCTAGGTCTACAATGATGGCCAGACCAAAAGGGATGCCCCGTGCTTTGGTTAAAAGAGGATCCTAGGAATGCAGCTTCTGTTATTTCCTGGCCCTTGATCCAGCTCTAATTGAGACCTCAGAGGACTAAGAATGGAACTTCACAGGAACTGTCAATAGCAAAGAGGACTTCCCTGCCTGATCTCACCTCCAGGTCTGGTGGACCTAGGACTAGGCCTTGGACCCCATGCTCCAGACTTGACTGCTGCCCCTGCAGGTCTCCTCATGTGGTCTGTCCCAATGTCTTGCAGACCACAGAGGCACCTCTTGCATGATACATAGCACCATAGCAGCCCCACCTCCCAGCAGGGGATGCCCACCTTCTACCCAATATAGTTTACAAGCACTGTGTGAAACAAGGGTCTACCATTCGGCTGTAAAAGTGAACAATTTCTATGTCTGATTAAACCTGGCATTTCTACCGCTGCCCCAGGGAGTAGAAATCCAGTTTCCAAATGTCACTGCTTTTTACAGATTAGCCACAAATACCCTGAATCGCAACCGTGTGCCACACACTATTAAACAGAGAACAAATGTAACACAAACACAGTGGCACATGGAGCAGGTGTCCATTGAGATAACTCCCAAGAGAAATGGAAAAGTTGCCCTGATAGGGTGGGAGGACCTACAGGAAGGGAGAACTGACTAGGGAGCAGGTAGGACAGCCAAGACAGGGACAGGTCCACAGAGAGAAGACAGATTCAGGGTTTGGGCACCTTTGAACTTGAGGTGTATGAGATGACCTCGGCTAAAGCAAATTAAAATGGGGACCAGGACTAAAGATACCCTGAGCCAACAAAGCCAGTCAGGCCTCATAAGTGACCTTACCCTTGGCTTGATTTGCAAACACAGGCAAACCTTAACTTGAGCTGTTTCATGTGTACCTATACTAAAAGAAAATAGAACATAAGCTCAACCAATAGAATAAACAGTTTATTGAGGAACTTTCCAATGGTGGAAATCAAATAAGCAGCAATATAACTGCCACCAGACTATTTCTTTATTTTGCTTCTTCAATCGCCCTTAAATTCAACGCTTTGTTATCAGAACATTAGCCCATTGCTTTCCTAGATTGCATGATCCACAATACCAAAAGGAAAAAAAATTAAACCTCTTTTGATTCAGTGTTTTTCAATTCATGAATTGCACCTGCCAAACTCTTTAAATTTTTATTGTGCCTCAATTTACTCTTTTACTCCTCTAATGATGCGCCCAAAGGCTGAAAATACAATCCTGGGATCAACAGCCACATGTACTCTAGAAACACATTAGAGCATTCTCAAAGATGTGACCAGAAGAGAGGATGAGGAACATGAATCTACAGGCCCCACAGAATGGCCATCCTGTACATGAACCTTCCTCTACCCCCATAGAGCTGGTCTTTGTATAGCAAGACCCACCCGGTGAAGTCAAGCACATGTCCACCTCACCAAGTGGAGCTGGCATCAACCACAAAATGCAGAGTTAGTTGGTTGTCCTTCCTAGATGTCAACACCCTGACCACAGCCTCCTCCAGCAGGACAGTGGGAAGGTGATCTTCATGAAAGGGTCAGAGAAGGTGGAAAGACATCTGCTATGGTTTGGGTCTAAAATGTCTCCTGAAGGCCATGGGTTAAAGACTTGATCACCAACCTGTGGCACTACTGGGAGATGGTAGAAACTTTGGGAGGTGGGGCCCAGTGGAGGAGGTGGTCCTTGAAGGCTATACTTGTCCCCCAGCCCCTTTCTGACACACACACACACACTCTCTCTCTATTTCCTGGCTGCCATTACGTGAGCAGCTATATTTCACTGCACCATCCCACACACGCCCAGAAATAATGGATGCCAAGTGAACACAGAATGAAACCTTTGAAACCATGAGCCAAAATTAATCTTTCTTCCTCTAAGTTGATTTTCTCAGGTATTTTCTCACAGTGGTCAAAAGTTGCCTAATACAACACCCAATGATATGGTTCTTTCCAGGTCCCTGAAAGTCATCATGGTGACCCTGAAATCCCCATTACGACACTGATTGTACAAAGTGACCCTGACCATCTCACCATAACCTGAGAGAATGTGTGACCTCGAACATTTCCATGTGACTTTGAAAATCTACCTGTGACCCCAAGCAATGCTGTGACCCAAACATCTCCATGCAATACTGAACATTTCGCTATAACCTGAAAATCTCAATGTGACCTGAAAATTTTATAATTGTAAATTCTCCATGCCACCATGAACATCTCACTGTGACCTTGAACATCTCCATAAGACCGTGAGCATCTCACTGTGACCCTGAACATCTCAATGTGACCTGAAAATTTTAATATAACTCTAAATTCTCCATGCCACCATGAACATCTCACTGCGACCTTGAACATCTCCATAAGACCCTGAGCATCTCACTATGACCCTGAACATCTCAATGTGACCTGAACATCTGTGACCCTGACATGCCATTGTGACCTGAATATATCCATACAACCCCTGACTTCTCTTACACTGTGACCTAAATATTGGCCATTTCTCTTTTCTTTCCACGCCTTTTATTGAGCTTCATCACAGAGTGGATAGGATTAGACCCAACTTTTTCCATGAATAGGAAGGACAGAGAGCATCTTATAATGTATTAGGTGCTCTGAATTGCCATGTTAAAAAACTCAAGATAACTGCTGCAAATGGATGTTTTCTTTCACGAAACCTCGATCTTCAATTGCATTTCCTGTGGTTTCCATTATTTTGTCCTAGTCATAGTAAAATCCTTGAAAGTAAAGTTCTGACCAGCATTTCTGATTACACCCTTAGCATTCCTATAGATGGTTCCCTGGCAGTCTGTTCTCCTGGTGCAAGGACACACTTTGCTAATTCCCTCCAGCCTTGTCTGCTGCTCCCAACAGCCCTGGAGATGGAACATTGGGTGGCCAGTACTTCAGAGACTTTGCAGGACCCTCAGCAAACTGGGATGGACATCAAGGGCACTGGGCAGATGACCTAGAAGGCCCCAGAGGGCCATGGCCTTATCCTCCCCTTGCCCTCAACAGAAGACAAGAGCAGTAGCTAAAAGTTGAGAGGCCAGGCAGGGCAGGTGGGGCCTGAGGGGCAGCAGCACTTCTCAGTACAATGCAGCAAACTGTTGAAACAGATGGATGCTGAAAGGAGAACTGGCTGGTCGCCGGGCACCACAGGCATCTGGAAAGGGCCAGAGGAAGGAGCCAGGCCATCAGGTGAGTTGATAAGGCCAGAAGAAGGGCCTGCACAAAAGCATACCATTCACAGTCTAAAGGAAATGAAAGGCAGGCAGACCCCAGCCCTTAAAATAAAAACTATGATTAAGAATAAAACCTCCCTTTTGAGATTTGTCCATATCTAAGCTTCCTTTCTCCCATGATTTCCCCCTAGAACACAATGGACTCATTTTACAGTATATGAAAGTGGAGTCAGGGGCATAAAAATCAGCTGGAGCATTTGTGTATCAAAATGACTGACAAGTCATTATAGACTATCCCTAACCTACCAAGTGGATCCAAAGGAAAAGACCCCACCAGCTGCTGAACTGAAGGCAGAGGAAGCCTGGCTCCTACCCTGCTGACTGGTCACTGCTGGAGCAGTGGATTCAATTCTGGCCTTCCTCAAAGGCAATCTGGTCCAGGTGGTATGCATGCCACCTCTGTACCCATGGGTTCTATGGCAGCCCAGCACAGAGAGGACCCAAGCTGCTAGTCTCAGTATGGACACCCTCTCTACCATCCCTCCCTCTCCTTCTAAACAATCCCTATTCCTTCTTCAGTTAGTTTTCTCCTAATCATTTCTTAGTGTCTAGGTCACTGTGGGCTCCTACACTGTGAGCCTAGGTCTCATGAATGGATGTATCCAAGGAGTGTAGCATGGTTGAGGACCCTCAGTTTACTGCTATATAAAGAAAGGAGCCCCCATCTAACCATCACGTGCATGTTCCACACCATAATACAACTTCTGCCCCGTGCGCTCAGGAAGCTCTTTGTGGACCACCAAAGATCAAGCTGATGTCCCAGACATTCCTGATGACCTCCACCCAGACAGATGGAAGCTCAGTGTGTAGCACAGCAGAGCCACTCTGCTGAGAGTCTATTGGGATGGGGGAAGCACTGGAAACTA